ATGCCCAGCATCATAAAAGAAGCTTACAGATGGGAAACAAAGGCAGGCTTTCTTTAAAGTCTGTTATATCGGCCACTTCAACAACACCATCTTCACACTGTTCAGAACAGACCATCTGGTACCTTAGTTTATTCCCATTTCTTGCTTCTGAGCATCTTTCAGCAACTCTTCTGCTCATCTCTGGGTTTAGTGCAACACTCTCCCGAGAGCTACCTTTCATATTGCGTACATCTTTTAATTCTGAAGTATATAAACCTGAAGAATTGCTTGTCTGTTCCATTGTGTTGGGACTCTTTACTTCTGTAGAACAAACACCACCACCTGAAATGCTCCTATGCTCTTGACAATCTCCAATAACCTGAGACAAAACCAAGAAAAATTTAATAATAAGGCATATTTTGAATTTTCTCTTTTTAAGTGGAGATTCAAAAAACACATTGTGAATTTTATTTCCTCCACTTTTTAACTTCACCACTTTAATTCTTCCTTTCTTTCTTTCTTCTTATTTTTAATTGTGATGATTTTTTAAACTAAATCTCCAATGTCTCACCTGTACACTGAGTTTTTTTCTTTCTGACTCCAGTGTGTTCTGGTAGTGCCATTTCCTAAACTCCTGCAATGTTAACTTCTCTAACTCTGCAATCTGTAAACATTGAAAATGAACTAATTAACCAACTGCATGAAAAAGAAAGCGTGATATCTGGACATGAATTACTTGAGTGTATATTTTTACACAAAAAGTGTCAAGTAAAACTTAAATATTTTATTATCCAGCATCTTTTGAAATTTGCCCATCAAAACAGAACAACCCATCTTACTGTCTTTTGCCTTCTGTCAAATATATATTGCTGGTGTACAATTTGGCCCCAGTTGCGGTCTGCTACCTCCCCCATGTGAGAGTCCTCGCATTTTTTTGTTGTTATCATGGCATTAACCTGCAGTGAAATGTTTTAAATCTCAATTTTGCTGTTAAAATGAGAAATGCATTCAACTATTATTAGACACTAACCCACTAATCTTTATCTGTTTTTCCTAATTACTTTAGTTTTTTCTTTATCTATTTTTTCTTATTATTTCACTGTTTTATTTCATCTATTTTTCTTAATTTTTTTAATACACACCAGAGATTCAAATTCCTCCTCAGACATCTGTAGCATTTCATCAAACTCATTCAAGAACATCTCAATGTGCTCATCCACATACTGTGTTCTAAAAGAAGAAAAATGAAATTAATTATTAACAAAATAAAATGTCTTGCATAATCACTGTACTAATATAACTTTCAACATTTTAAAGCAGACAATCATAGTTTGACAGAGAACCTTTTAAACATCAATGAAAATGAAGTGGAGCATTTGAAGTGTGGTACCATCATTCACTATGAATTGCCCTATCAGTGCATTAAGTTATTTCACTGAGTTATACACAAGTGCACACAGTTGCATGTAAATTAAAATGAAGAGAACTATATCCATCTAACTTGAATTTGTTTGCCTGTGTGCAGACAGTGACAGACATCCCCAAAACTCCATTTGTATCTCGATGTGTGCAAAACACAGAATAGCCCAACTGTTCTCGTGTTCTTAGAATGTCAAAGCATGGTTCTTCCATTCGCATCTGAAAATTCAAGATCTGACTTACAAAAACGGACACAAAAAATCAATAATTTTTGTAAAAAAAATAAAATGATGCCGATTTAAAAAAACTGCCTTTTTACTAAACAAAGCCACTCAGTAAATTTAAAGTGAGACAAATATTGGCAGATTTGTCAGCCCATACAGACGCATACAGTGTCTGTATATAAAAATTACTTTCCGCTAGTAGGTGGCATATGAGGGATGACATGTTGATGGCATAACTGTTGATTACTACTGGTGAAAAAAAATGCAAATGCCTGCACTCTATTAGATGAATACAGTGACAAGTAAAGAAAAAAAATGTAGAAAATAAACAAGAAAATAAAGAGAACACTCCATCTTCTGAGAAACCACCCAGGAGTCCATCTCCAGTACCAGAGAAGACAGAGACAAAAGACAGTGCGGAAAATGAAACAGCTAAACCTGTCGAAAAAGAAGCAGAAGATTCTGGGAGGGAGACAGGTGGCTACACCACTAAGAGTGGTGACGAGACTGATAGATCCAAAAACTATGGTGATTCTGACTACGATACAGATACCAGGCCAAGTAAAAATGTTGATAATATTGAATATTAAGAGAGACAAAATCAGTATTACAATAGTGTGGGACATACTGATAGACCTACTGAGTATATATTTTTGATAAAATAAAAAGCATAATGACTATCTTTTATCCCAGTAGATGATAAATGTGAATTTCTTTATAACTTACTATCACAAGTTCGTTAAGTGCCGCCAGGCGTAGATTTTCAGGTCCACATTGGTAATAATTAGTAACCACAGAATTGCAGTCAGTGGGGTTAAAAGTTTTCACTCTACAGTAGCTGGTTTTAGCTGGGAGCTGATGGACTCTTGTCTGAAAAATATGTGGTTATTTTGATACTTGAAATGTGAGAAACAATATTTTCCACAAAAGTCGCACAATAATTTACAAACTGAATATCTTGCCCCTTTCACACGGTCATTAAACAAACTTTCAAAAATATAACAGAAACTGAAACACTTCGACTGCCTAGAAAAATAGCTATCCT